TTGAACCTTATTTTTAAAATGAACATGAGTTTTCACTAAATCTCTATTTCTGATAAACTTAATGAAATAAATGGCGTAAGAACATTTTATTAGAGTGGAACTTTGAACCCGAAGCCTATTGGTTAAAATCAGGGTGAAGTATACAATAGATTTGTCCAGTTTAGGGTTTACTGTAATCTACAAATACATCGGAAATACAACAGCCGTGCTCTCTGTTCACTGCTGGACGGCTGTAACCATGGAAACGTGGATTATATCTGTCGTTTTTTTTTTCTTTTTAACCCTATAATGCCAAATGTGTCATATTTGATACATATGGTTTCTGAAATGTTTTGCGTCTGACACCTTTTGCATAATTTAATGGTAAAAACTTTGCTCAAAATCCTATTTTACACAATCAGATACACCTGATAACAGGGGGCAGAAGACTACACAAAAAATAATCTGGACTTATCGCATAGTAATAAATTATTAATATTAAAAATGTATTTCTGTTTTTTCTTTTGACATATTTTGTTAGAAGACCACATAAAGACTTCAAACCAAAAAAACAGTAATTTTCTGTTTTGTTTTATTCTTGGATCAGGCTTTAAAGGGTTAAAAGCACCCAGAGAGAACCCAAACTCCACTAGACCATTTAAAATGTTAAATTCTTATCTGTTTTTACGAATCCAAATCACTGAGAAAGAGGGGTGTGGGGAATTTGATGGTGAAAATACCATAAAATGTAGATGAAATTTGAATTAGATAAACCTAAACTGGATTATTATAGGGGCGGTGGCACAGTGGTGTGGGCCTCACAGCCAGAGGGTTCTGGGTTTTAGTCCCCGGGGGAACCAGGACCAGAGGGTTCTGGGTTGGAGTCCCCGGGGGAACCAGGACCAGAGTGTTCTGGGTTGGAGTCCCCGGGGGAACCAGGACCTTTCTGGGGGGAGTCTGCATGTTCTCCTGTGTCTGTGGGTTCTCTCCGGGTTCTCCGGCTTCCTCCCACCGTCCAAAAACCTGCATGTTAGGTTGTTGGACTCCAAACGGCCCTTAGTGTGAGTGTGTGTGGTTGTGGGTCCTTGTGTGTCTCTGTGTGTCCCTGTGATGGACTGGGGACCGTCCAGGGGGACCCCGCCTCTCCCCATTGGCTACTGGGATAGGCCCCGCCCCCCAAGACCCCATTAGGGAATAAGAGGTTACGATAATGGATGGATAAATGGATTATGATATGTAATAATGAAATACTACTCAGATGACCAGTACTGATCTGGGTTTTTATTGAGAACATACTTTATTCCGTATATATATATATATATATATATATCTGTCTGTACACGAGTGAGAACGTCTGGACAAACATTCGGTGTGTGAGCAGAAGTGGCTGGACGTCTGCATTAATGTTTTTATGTATGTCTGGCATGTGGAGGCTACAGGCCGCCTCACAGACCGGTGCTAAATTCTTTAGTCTGACATAGATGTCCCACTCTGAGTTTTCCAAAAAAACACCGTATAGCTGAACCCTTTCTGAACATCCACAGCTTGTTCTTCTGGGAATTACAGATAAGAAAACTCTAAATGATAGACTGAGTGGAGTAAGGTGTTTATTCTTTATTACAGAGTTCTTTCAATAATAGTCAGAATACAAAGTACATTTAAAGAATATCGTTGGAACATATAGCACATATTCAAAGTCATAGATTTTGTAAAATATTATAGAGTTATAGTAATATTTTATGGTTGAACTGACTGAATGTAACTATAGATACAGCAGTAATGAGTTGGTTTAAGAGTTTGGATTTAGTCCTCAACCCTCCTGAGTCCAGTCTCAGTTTCGGTTAGACACATCAGTACCTCCTATGACTAAAAGTATGTTTAAGGTGTTTTTTTTCTTAAATTTTCTCTATGTACAACGCACTCTACTGTTAAATAATTCACATTTTGACAGTCTGTGCTTTAATAGTCTTTACTATTGGTACAAATCACCGTTATATATTTACAGAGGATATCGAGTTCTATGAGCTGTTAAATCTAAAATCTCTGCGTTTGAATTGGGATGTGTTCACTTTTCTGATATGAGTCCAATTTCCAGTTGACAGTTTAGGAAATAGACCACAGCAAAAACTTCTGTTTTTTTAATTAGTTGAAAAAATCCTGTCTAAACATGTACAAGTCACGAGGGTTTTTTAACTCTCTTTGCTGGAAATTTAAGATCTATAATCAAATTTGAACAAGCAACACGCAAAAAGAGTCGGTGGTGAGGTAAAAAAAAGACGAGAAATTAGATCAAATGTACAAAAACACACCCAAAAAATGAACTGAGCATGTGAGGGTGTCAAGATTGAGTATAAAAAGGAACATTTGGCTAAGGTTTAGTCTTTTCACGCATGGATGGGTCATGGTTTACGACTTTTAGCCAAAATTAACCAGAGGTTAAATAATAATAAAAAAAACCCTTATGCAAAACTACAAAAACATAGATTTTTCCACATTATTGTATTGATTATTAAAAAGCTGTACATTTAGAAACCTTGTAAATATCAAGGCTAACGAGGAAAGCTACAAGGCCCCTTGACGATTAAAAAAAAACACATTTATTCAGACAGTCCATTACTAACGCAACCTGAAAAGGGATCGCACAAAAATCCATCTGTGTATCAGAACTACTCAGTTTTCTGAACATACGCACCTCTCGGATGGACAGAAATAAAAACCAAATGCGATTTCTGTGATGAGATGAGTCAGCATTTCTTCTTCTTTTGAAAAAAAACAACAACACAAGTCTGGTTCCACACGTCGAAGATAAGAAAGAAGCAAAAGCCAGAATCTGTCATGTGTGACATGGCTTTATGTGAGAGAAGGACCACTGATGGAGAGGAGGATGTGTTGGTTTGGCCATGAAAGCAGCTTCTTTAGCCAGGAATAAGACGCCAGACCTCAGTCTCTCTTTAGTCCAGCAGCGTTGCGAAAAGGAGAACGCATTCCTCCCAAAAAGCTGCCACGACTATCCTCAGCTTCCAATCCAACGAGGAGTTTAACTAAAAGGGAAATTGATTAGCACAGACTAAAAGCTTCATCCACGCTGTTCGGTCGTTAAAGGGAAAATAAAACGAGACTGAATACATCTTTTTTACCTTATTTCTGTCAAACTATGGATTCCATTAATTTACAGATTGCTCATCTCAAGGCCTGCTGACCGAGGGCGCTTTAGGAACTAATTAATACGAGTCCGATTGAGTTTTAAAGGGGACATGTTATGCAAAAAACAAGTTTTTAATCATTTGATTGTGTACATGTGGGACTGTGGAGGGCCTATCAGCAGGCAAAGTGTAAAAAAAAAATGACTCGGTCATGTTTTTGTGGGCTGCCTCAGTCTGAATCCAGGAGATAAATCAGGAGGTTTCAGGAGTGGGTAGTTTCTGACGTCATTAGCTCTGGCTCATTATAATATTCCAGCCTTTCACCTGCATGTTGCCCCCCCCCCCCTCAGCTTACTCCGCCTATCTGTGGCAGACGTCGTGGTAGCCTGAGCGTTAGCATGGTAGCTTTAGCATGGTAATGTGAGCGTTAGCATGGTAGCGTTAGCGTGCCGACGTGGGCACACCTCCCTGAAGAAGTGGGTGGACTGATGGGATTTTGACCAAAGCTTGCCACAGACATTACATTAGGACACCAGGGAACTAGCTTAACTTGTTGAAATAGGGTATAATATGTCTCCTTTAAATAATCCCAATCTAGAGGTTGGTGTTCCTGTTTTAGCCGTTGTCATTTTTGAGTAAATTTTAGTTATTTTTTTCTCTTTTTTAGGAACTCACTTTGGGGTTTTGCTTATTTGGGGGCGTGAAACCCACTTTTCCGCGGAACGACGAACGCCACCGAGCTGGAAACAACAAACAGGAGGCTGTTTTCCCATAAAATGACACCAGGGAACTAGCTTAACTTGTTGAAACAGGGTATAAAATGTCTCCTTTGATAGAATCCGTTGCGTGGAAACCCACTTTTCCGCGGAACGACGAACGCCACCGAGCCTGGGAAACAAACAGGCGGCCATTTTCCTAACCCCCCACCTCTTTCCCCCCCGTTAGAACGGGTAGGGGGACACGAACAGCGTGACTTTGGTGAGGTAGCGGCCCAGCAGGACATCTCCACCTCGGCCTCCAGCGCGGCCTGAAGAAGTAGGTGGATTGCCTGTGTCTCATTTGCATTTAAAGAGACAGGCACTCCAAAGCGAGCGCTCTGAACGGGGCTGTTTCTGGTTAGGGTTAGGGTTAGGGTTAGGGTTAGGGTTAGGCAGGGGGACTGAACTGCTATTGGGCTTCATCCTTATGCGATTCTGACCAAAGCTTGTCACAGACATTACATTAGGACACCAGGGAACTAGCTCAACCTGTTGAAATAGGGTATAATATGTCTCCTTTAACAAAAACGTTGCGTGGAAATAATCCCAATCTAGAGGTTGGTGTTCCTGTTTTAGCCGTTGTCATTTTTGAGTAAATTTTAGTTATTTTTTTTTTCTTTTTTAGGAACTCACTTTGGGGTTTTGCTTATTTGGGGTAAATTACCTTTTATACTAATAAATATAATTGACAAACTACTGAGTTAAGAGGAATATATCAAATTAATTATTAATTTCCATTCATTCCTTTCTGTTAAAAACATATTTTCCGATATATCCTTTTCCAAATGTACCACTACCCTGCTAAGGGAACCTGTCTCTCTAGTTTAACTTGTTGAAATAGGGTATAATATGTCTCTTTTGACAGAATCCGTTGCGTGGAAACCCACTTTTCCGCGGAACAACGAACGCCAACGAGCCTGGAAAACAAACAGGCGGCTGTTTTCCCATAAAATGACACCAGGGAACTAGTTTAACTTGTTGAAACAGGGTATAATATGTC